TTATTCACTGATTTGAACCATTCACTGTTTATTATTATTCGTCCATAAACCCCCGTTGGATCACAGAAAATATGCCACTCACCCCGATCGTGTGGACGAGAATTTATTTGATTGACCTCAGCTTAAAGATGGTGTGAGGGTCGTCAGTGCAGAGAAGCTAACCTTGGTCATCCAAACTGATGAAGAATAAGCAGAAGAAAGGTGCTTTCTCCCAATTACAGGACGAGACCGTGTGATCAAGGAAGTAGTTTCCGTAGGATCCACTGAAGAAAACACTCTTGACCCAGCACTAAAAGCTATTGTTTTATCGCGAATTCGCTGTGTTGTGTGTGTCAGGAAAATGTTCTACGCATACAAGCTCGGATTCAGAAAACCCTAGAAAACGAATATGGTCCCAGATGGCTACAACGCAGCAAAAAATTTGTAAATTAAATTAAAAATTTGCAAAGTCGAAACATGGAGAAGCCGCTAAGTTATTGTAAAATAAGAATCCAGTTGCCTGATGAAGCATAAGTCTACATGGCATGGTAATTCCCGGTTACTAAGGCTCCAAAAATTTCGAAAAGGTGAAACGTAAAAACTGAAGCCATTAGGTAGACCAATTTCGATTAGTGAACGAGTTATATGCTTTCATTTGATCTTATTTTTCGTGAACACAAGGAACTCACAAGTGTCCAAATTCTGTTCCAGTTGGCGGTTCATGCGAATCCCTGTGGTGTTTGCACGCAGATGTGCTGTGCTGTGTAATGTCTGCCGCACCTTAGATCGTGCAGTACTTGTCTAATGAAGTAACGACGCTTGGAATCGTCTCTTACTCGTAGAGTTTATCTTACCTGTTTCAATAAGTGTACTTGTTTGGCTGCAAGAAACTCCTATAAGCGTACGCCGAGGAATACGCTATTTAGCCTTGTCATACCTCATTACCAAATGAAGTTATGATGATCGCTATGAAGTGGGGGCGCATGTTCGGCAAACAATTTAAGATGTATTAGTTCACACATCCTATTTTTGTGATTCTGTGCCAGACTCGACATGTTCACCACATCTTGATGTCTCCTTAAAAGGCAAGAACGGAACGGCCAATCGTATTGACTTTTTATCAAACGAATCATAAAACATTGAAAGGCTGTCTACTATAACCAAGCATATGCTACAAACAGATTATTTATCCACTCTATGGAAATGTATGAAAGAGTAATTATGCTCTTTTCATTTAGCTAAACTCTTGTGGAATGTGCACTCAACCTCGAGGGTTCGAAGCAGTATAAAATCCGTGCTGTTTAATCTTCTTTGCTTAGTCTTTTAGTTCATAAAATTCAAGAAAGTCCTGCATACATATGATCATTTTGACATGCTTCATGGCTCAAGTAATTATGCTCTTTTCATTTAGCTAAACTCCTGTGGAATGCGCACTCAACCTCGAGGGTTCGAAACAGTATAAAAGCCGTGCTGTTTAATCTTCTCTGCTTGGTCTTTTATTTCAAAAATTCAAGAAAATCCTGCACACATATGATCATTTTGACATGCTTCCTGGGCTCAATTACAGTTATTTCAGACTGGGTGACTCAGGCGAATGCTAGCTAGATCTTCCTTTATTGAATATCAGACAGAGATTCAGCTCGGTTGTGTCCCTGGTTAAAACAACTCAGCTTGCAAATGAGTGTATTTTGCAAGTTGCATACCATTTGGGCACAAGTAAATTATAGCGTTGACGGGTTCGTCATCTGCCGATGAGTTTTGCAGCAACCATAGAAAACCACGGTGTATTTTGCAAGTTGCATACCATTTGGGCACAAGTAAATTATAGCGTTGACGGGTTCGTCATCTGCCGATGAGTTTTGCAGCAACCATATGAAAACCACGTTCTACTGTGAAAAGAACTCTCCCTGAAACGCAGTTCCCCGTTAATTTAGGCATCACTTCATCGCTTGGTAGCTGACCGAAGGCAGCAGGGAATCAGTTATCAATGTACATTCCTATCCAGCATTAACGTGGCACTCTTGAAGCTGATGAGTAAAATTAACGTTGCCCCTACATTGGCCCTGCCCATCCATATTGATGTTTCAGTATGCAAACGAGGCTATTTTTGATGTATGACTCAGAGCGCTAAACACAAGAGTGGAATTAAATCATATGCTGACTGAAGAATGGCGGCGCATATCAGCTTACTCCAAGCAATGGTTCCACACAACTTCAGGGGGAATTCCTTGGAAAAGACGGAAACCACGATTATGTTGAATATATGGATCCCTTCGACGAATGCCCAGGCAATAACGCTGCTGTGTCCGAATTCTTCCATGATAAACATACAGTTGACTGTCCACGTTGCAATCTGGCAAAAAGGAGGTAGTTTACCGAGATTATGACAGTACACAGTATGCATGAGTTAAATATATCCTGAAAGAGTTGACGAATGTTGTGCAACTGGTGATGATAGTAACACCATATGAAGTTTGATAAGGGTTGAGAGGTAGGTTCATTCTTTATACCACTAGGACGGAAGCAGTGTAATAGAATGGATTTTTACCGGGAGAAACCAACCGTCCAAACCCGGACTATTACGGTAAGGTGCCCGTTCGGTGTCATACGATTTGGAATCACACAACACAGACAACACAGACGAATGTCTCATTGAGGTGGCTGACTTTCAGTTTGATTGATCATTGAAGGCCAGGGAACTTCACAAGTCTTTTTCTGAAGGGGTGCCTCCTTTTCCTCTTCAGTTTAGTAGTAGTTTAGTAGAGATGTGGATGATCTAAACACAGTAATCCAGTAATCGTAATACAATTGAGTATCAGGGTTATAGAAAGTAGAATAGTCGGTGAAATGGGTGACGTTCCCCAGTGGTCCGACGTTTTCTGATGAATAGTGCCTTCTCTTTGGGTTCTGTGAAGTCCCAAACACAATTATCATATGTTTCTGCTTAGAGCAAACTTCACTGACAAGCTCATGAATCAACTACCCTAAGAGGCAAGTTGAGCACGCGAGTTAGCAGTGAAGCTACTGACAAAGACATTCACAAGCAATTTCTCGTTGGACATCCCGTCTTGTGGAGAAATTCAACGTATCTGTTAGGCCAAGAAACATAGGGTAGAAAATAACCAAACATGTTAATATTACCAGCAGGTACGCAAAAACTGCAACCCACAAAGCTGCACTGGCAGCGAAGTCGGTAGAGTCCAGCAGTTCTGCAACTAGAGTGACCAAAAGTGGAATATCTTTGTAGCGACCACTGGTTGTTGAGTATTTGAAGAGTGACGTTGAAATATCAGAGCCAAATAATGATACATTTCGTAAAATATTCATATCAGATATATGCGAACTAAACCATTTTCTTTTTAAGTGTCACAAAAACGACGCCTTTCTTCTGTTAGCTGACAGCAAGACCAACATGAGAGACAACATGGCCCTCCGTCTTAATGTTACATTTGTCTGCATTTGGATGCAATCAAGTTTTGTGGAGCCGTATAGATTGACCATTTCTAACCTGTTTCTGGGATATTTTCTAGGGACAAACGTTATTAGAGATTGCCGTGGCAGTCGGATCAGTTTTGAAAATGAATTCTGGGTAGAACAGTTCACAGAACACAGTATCGTGTTATTTCTTTCAACACGCTTGTGAACTACATATTATTGTATGTGAATCGCTACCGATATGAACAAAGATCTTAAATGACCAGTAATTGACCTGTAAGTGAGTTCCACTACTTTGAATCCGACTATTCAGTGAAAGATAAGTGATTCTAGGACAGTTGGTACGCAACAAATGCCAAAGTTGGAAATCATGAAAGATTGGAACACCTCGCCGTGAAAGCGTTTTATGCAGGTGACAAGCTACACCCAGTTGGAAAGTAAAGATGAGGTGTATATTAGAAAGTTTCTACTATTCTTTGATTTACAGCATGTTATTACGGGTTTGGTCTGAGATTTCTGCGGGTCCGGACCACTAAATCGTCAAATTCCGATAAAAATTCGTACTCCGGCTGCCTCAACAACAAATACTGAGCAAAGTCCGAAATCCCATCTGATTAACTCTGTTGGTCAGTGTTACACACAATTATGATTGAAGAGCTCATTGAGGTTTTGCATCTGTCAAGAAGCCCGACGTCCACCGACCAAAAGTGGGTCTTGCGTGAATGCTAAAAAACGTGAGCCATTGGACCATCCTCCCTCATGAATTTCACTTTCGCTACAATGATTTCGAGAACAGTAGCAATGTGAAAAACAGGCCATCTCACAAACTTAATGCACTTTAGAGGTGAAATTCCCGTCTTTGGAAATACATCGATATCTGCCCTACGGTTGAAGTCGTCCAAGGAAGTCGTACACGCAGCGTTGACAGCCACCAACTGTTATTTAACCCGGAAGAAAATCAGTGATGATTCTTAAGTGATTTAGAACAATCATCTACGACAACCGAGTTGGCGAGATGCCCGCCTGGTAGGTATAAGCTCAGAAGTTTGATCCACCAAAATGCCTGGTTTTAATTTCATTCTACGTGATTTCGGGTATTGTAATCAGGTTTTGCACCAAGTACTTTGCTTTTGCGCACAGCCTACCTGTAGATGTACACAAAATATTTTACTGTAAATGCTAACTTTGTTCTTACCAATGAGGTCTCAGCATGTAAATAAATAAGGTAGCAAATGCAGCTTGTTTTCTGTGATTGTTCCCCTCGGCTAATACATCACAAATTTACATGGTACCAGAAATCACGTGAAAGAGTTTGAGATCGGGGGCACATACACTTCAGGGAAATAGAAATCAAAGGAGAGGAGTTGAAAGAGGAATGGGTCAAACACCACTGGCTTCTGTGTGTACTCATTTGTATGCTCGTGCAGAGCACCATATGTTGGTCGTACGACAAGGCATTTGTTGGACAGAATGCGAGAAAACAATCCCGTATCTCTGAGTTGTAGCTGGAAGAAACTAGGCTCAAGCACAACTGCATCACATTTGACTGAAACCACTCATATCATAGACAAGAAGCAAGCCTTTAATATCATATACCGGGTTCCTCTGAACCGATCATGACTGGTACGATCCATACTACTATCTAGTGCAGGGGCGATTGGAATCCGACTGCTGGATCCACAACTTTGCGTCCTAAAGAAACTTGTGCGACCTTTCAACTTGAACTGGCATACGAAACATCTGGTCCCACAAGTCCGTCTGACCTTGACGTCACTAACCTGATTCCGTGACCCATTGACCCACCTCTCATTCAGTTACCCCTCTTCCTTTGATTTCTGTTGCTCTGAAGTGTATGTGTCCCCGATCTTAAACTTTTTCACATGATTTCTGGTGTCATAAATCTGTGATATACTAGCCAAGAGGAACAATAACAGAAAACAAGCTTTGTTCGCTACCTTCTTCGTTGTCATGACTACGACGGGTATATTCGTCCACCTCATCATGTAGTATCTAGCTTTATTAACCACAAAACAAGACACAAAGAAGTCGCCTGAAGCCAAGTGAGAGATACGTCTTAGATCTTCCTACACTGCATGTCACGTTGAGGAACTAGTGAAAATATGGGTATTGAGGCAATTACTCAGGGCAGCGTGGCCTGATTTGATGAAATGAACATGATGAAGGGGGCTGTGTTTTCCGCAAAATGGTCAGTAAGACATTTGACATGGAACACAAACCCTACTAGTCTCACTATTGCCCAAGAACCACTTACATAACCGCAATCGTATTTAGCAAATCACTTAATGAACTAAGTTATGGCAGAAGAAATACTTCACCACGAGCACTTCGTTTAAATGTTCTGCAGGTTTCAAGGTGGTTTGTTTAGAGGATTAGAGTTAGTAGCTTAGAACGCGGAGTAACTGGAAGTAGATGTCTGCCTAGAGCTAATCGTGTGAATGAACTGTAGTAGTTACCCAGATCAGTTAGTCAACTGATGAAAAATGTCATAAGAATAGCGCTCAGAGTTGGGCTAACCTCAAGTACAAAGTTGTAATCAGTATGTGACTCACACTGCTTCCAAATGTGGCGTTTCCGGAAGAGAATACTTCTGTATCATTTTGTCCATTTCTGGTTTGGAAAAATGCATTGACGTTCTCTGAAGTGACACCAACTTGTGCGACTGCCTCAATAAGAAAGGCCAGGAAAAGTTGCTTATGAATCTTGAGACGACAATTCTGAGTGCTGTGGAAAGGAAAATGATGGTGCCTTCAGAAAATGTTAACCATACACGAAGTAAAACATTTATTAATATCGTCGAACCAGCTATGATACGATGTGCCACATTACATGACTTTAGGAAGCAGACCGAGATTCACTTTTTTTTGATAAATTGGTTTGCGTGTGTGCTAGCTAGACATTTTAGTTGAGTTTCTGGAAAATTCGTACATGTCATATCTTTAGCTCAGTGCACAGCAGAATGCCCGATCGGGAATGTGTTGTAACGTACCGTTTTCTTGGTTGTTGGTCTGTTCGCCGAGCTTGGCAGTTGGATTGCAAATGTTTCATCACCAATCGAGGTGACATCGTCAGTCCACGTATATGGGAATCTAAATTGACCATGATAACCTTCTTTCTAGCATTACAAAAAGCAGACTGGATCTTCGCCTTCATTCTTCGAAAGAAACTCCCATAGGAAATAAACAGATTTCAACTCTACACTCTGCATAACATGTCGTACATATTTGCCTATCGTTGGTTTAAGATGAACAGTCTCCTTTCTCATCAGTACAATAGATGAGTTAACTGTACCCATAAGCTGTTTAATAATGGTCTTCCATACGAAAGATCGATGAAATTAATTACAGATGCAAATCGCGCACGCGCTGGGACTGACTTTCACAATGCAGTAAGTAGACTCAATTTACTTAGTGTATTCTAGTTTACAAACGTGCACAGTTTGATTGATATAAATTCTTTCTCAATAAACTGAATGGGTTATTATATAAAATCCAGCATAGCGAATACTGTGATGGTTCTCCTGGGACGATCGACTTGTTTTCCGGACTGTACATCTGCTCTTATTCTTTAGCAGAAATATTTTGTTATAACCGAAATGCACGATTCGATTGTGACAAACCTCCGACTGTATAGTATGTAGCGGTATTCAAGTATAGCACCATCTTATATCAGATATTACATAGGAGGAGCCAAGAGATGCCGCGGTTAGTTCACACACAATCAGATCTTACAAACAAGTTCGCCAGGATCACTTCCATTTGATTAACAAACAACAAAATTTGTTTCACACGTTGGAACGTAGTTTGCTGAGTGGATATTCTGCGATACCTTATATTCTTCCCGAAAATTATAACCCTGGATGACGAAATTAATTAAAAGACACGTCAGATTCAGAGTCCAGAAATGCGCTTTAACCGAGAAAATGGTTTGATTGAAGGTGTATGGGGCATCATAACAACATTGTCACACTGCGACTCTTGGTTCGGAAACAAGTGTGCACGATTACTGATTTTAATGAAATAACAACACTGATAGGAGCCTAACTCGTTCATTTCTTTCATTTCACCGATGATGGTTGTCCATCCCCATTGAAATACTGAAACTCATGATGGAAGCATCTGTCAGCATTCGAATAATAGCAATATCAGCCGGCCAGACGAACAGGTCATTAAAAGATAGCTGGCAAAATTATTCTGATATTCGTAATACGGTATAACTTTGAATGTGGTGTGGCGCTGAACAACAATGAACCGGTTGCACGACCATCAGTTTCAGTGAGCTGAGAATGATAGCAATCGTAGGAATAGATAATTTGAGGAAACTCACATGGGAACTCTGGGGCGGCCATTTAATAAACCTGGTTAATGGGTAGATTGCGTTTGTTCTAGTAAACGGCAAGCGGCATTACAGAATACCACTGTTTGCCCATCACACGATCAAATAAGAATTAACAAACAGCCCGTTGTAAACATAAACACTGGATGAGGAGGTGTAACCATACCAGCGTATCAAACAACATTGACCAGTATGAGAACCCAGATATGTATCTCAGCAGATAAACCTTTTTATGTGTACATATAATTGAGCATATGCATTAAATGGCTTCTAGGGGATACCAGGACGGTCTGTTCGACCATACACAGTTGAACAATCCCACAACCTTTCCTTCTAATTAATGTTCACGATGAATGTATAACGGGAGCTGATTTTGAAATCCTGTAGATGCATATATGGCTCATCACAAACCGCATGAGAGGTTACCTATTATGCATCACCTGTTATGCGTTGAGATCAGTCAGCTTCTTACGAAAGGTCAATACGAAAATTGATGAAATCTGACCATATCAAATTTTTTTTCTCTAACACGCATATTATGCATCACCTGTTATGCGTTGAGATCAGTCAGCTTCTTACGAAAGGTCAATACGAAAATTGATGAAATCTGACCATATCAAATTTTTTTTCTACTAACACGCACTCGTTGTCTACCGAGATAGGTGACTGGAACATTTGGAACAATCAGGACATGCAAAGCATGCTCAAATTGTGCATGGTTTTTGCAGTCCCGAATAACTGGTAACCAAGTACAATTGCTATTTTTTGCCAAATGGGTGTAATCATTCCTTTTGTTAGTGCATCTCTCCGAAGGTCAGTAGTTTGTTTTTCACCCTCGATCACCATCTGCGCTAATCTTTTTCTATTTTAAAAAAGCATTTACTCAGAACTTGTGAATGTATAAATAATAACTGTCCTTTAAACACCGACTATCTAATGTTGAGGGATTCCTGAACACGCGACCTCCCAGCTAGCATCTAAGGCATAAATTGTTCAGCGATGAGCGGCCTGATAGCAGTGTGTTTAACTCGCTTTTGGTCCGGGTGTAGAGTCACCCAACCATTAATCACGATTTTCAAATCACTTAGGCACACGTTGGTCGGATCTTTGAGCGACGGTGGAAATTCTCACGGGATCTCACACTGTACTGTTCATCGCAATGACACAGGGCGGTGACCCGTTTACTTCAGTAACTTGTCTTTACATTAGCCGTAGAAATGATACTTGGCGAGGTTACTATCATCCGTTAGTCAGACCAACTGACGGACCAACCAGGAAACTGTAGTACTCCGCACACCAAACCGTAATTTACTTCAGTATACTCAGCATAGATAAGGAGGCATTTGATGTAACTGGGTACAACTTAAGAGTGAGTGCGTCACAGATGCCAAGCTTTGATCCGTCCCAGACCGCACACTTTAAGCCACTCTAATACTCCTTTGCTTTGCAACTCGGGGAGCGGACAAAATTGATCATTTTCCTGGAAGTTGTTTTGATAAAACATAATTTGTGCACCAGCAAAATTGAAACAGTCCGTTTAGTCACCAGGGAAATGAATCTATCCTAGCACTTAATGTCCACTTGCACTGGGGTAAAATACTTCCCCAAAATAAAGCTAAATGCTTCACTTCGATGCTGACCTTGGATAGTGAGTGCATTTCTCGCCAAGCTGGGTATAAATCCGTATGCTCTGAGTTTAAAATCACCGTTGGAGTCAAGCATAAATACTTCTTGTCTGTTACATCATGTCACCAATAAACCCCTAGTTTCTGGACCCTTTCACAAAATGATCACCTGTACTTGGTGAGCACAATTTGCTGAACATTTACAGAGCAAATCGTGACACACTCCATCTCGAAACCATACTGAACTCGGCCCAAACGGATTACACATTTTACTAAAGCCGTCTACAAAGGGCAAGTTATTGGCAAAGGATTGGGTATGACTGATAGGACCAATATGTGGAATAGGGAATTACTGCTCACCTTTCAAGATGCGAGAATACCTCTGATGCCCCATCAGGCATTTCTCAGATTTTTTAGCCGCATGAAATATCCTTCAAGGATTTAGTTGTTTAATTGCCCCATGTCTACAGTGGTATACTTATATATTCCATACATCACGATCTAAGTACAGTGTATGGACAATGTACCGGGTTTTGAAGCAGAATACAGATCTAGAAGA